ATATGTATATATATACATACAAACACACCCATACACACGCCCGCGCATGAACACATGCACATACATACACTCGCAACATTCTTTGCCCTGAGGGTTTTTAAGTTTCAGTGGAGGGTATAGCCAGCAAAGTATTTACAAAATCCTGTCTACATCTATGACAATGTAGCCTACCCAACTGCATCATGGAGTAATGTTGCGTTACAATGTTCAGCGCCGACAATACTGAAAAGTGATTGCGTGATGTTTTAACAGCGGGTAAAACCGCTCATGCTGTCATCCAGAGTGTTCACAGAAAATACTTTATGGTCTGTAAGACATAGGTTATATCTCTCTGAAACAAATCAACTATTGAAAACAGAAGTGCCAATGTTCATTGATTCGCCATCAGTCCATTCGTTTTATTTTCATTGTATGGCTGGTCTTGGCATCCGATCCATTTTCCCGTTTCATAGGGTGATGAGCACCGTTCTCAGTATGTCGATTATTTACCTTTGTCTTGATTGAGTGTACCTCGAATGTCTCTGGGTCGGCACTTCGGTTAAGATTTTTTTTCTCTTTTATTTGGTCGCTTTTAAGCACAAGGGGGATATCCCGGAAAATGCTGTTTTGAGAAAATCGAAAGTAAAGTTTTTACCCCTTGTTCATTTTTTTTTAAAGACAAGGATTGGTTTCTCTATAACCAAACAAATATACACACCAATGAAACAAAACTTCTCCTATGGTAGGGCAATGCCCACTTTTGATGAAGGTTAAAATTTCTGGAAACGCCCGAAATCTGGGTTAGCCTGCTTGTCCTTATAAGAGACCATTTGAGTCTTGGCTCTTCATACGTCACTTAGGGAAACTTAATGAAGGCAAATGCGTCAGACTTTCTTGACCTTGTTTACTCACCCTTTAAGCCGTAGCCTGTGTTGACCTTACCCGCGTCAACTAAATAGTTCTGTGAGTTTGCTCTTACCTGGAATCCGTAAATGATATTCTGAAATAAATTGTAGTGTCTATTTTTAAATTAAGTTAATGAATACAATAGTATTAACGGAAACAGCATCAGGCATTTTACGTATTTCAAGAACAGTTTTTGTGGAAGTCTGCGCTCATTAATCGAAACAAGACTGTTATAGTAGATCTTCCAGTCGTTGAGTAGGAAAGGAAATAAAAGAAGAGCGAAAGTTGGTGATTTCTCAAGTTGAAAATTTGGTTCAGGAATCGCCCAAACTGTTGTGACAAGAGCTTACATGCGCACACACATCATATACGCAGGTTCTCCAACTCACATCCACCCACGCGCACATGCGACTACACATTTACACAGACAGAAAGGCAGACACACACTCACAGACACCCACACACACACACCCACACACACACACACACA